GTTCAGCCTGGCACGGCATCTGGAGACATCTGTCTGTCTTAATATCGTTATAAAAGAATATTTTCTCAAGTTTTCGTTTGCTCATTTATAACATATAGAATATAATTGATTCTATATGAACATGTTTTGTCTTTTAACCCCACTTGAACTTATTAGTTCTTTTCATGAGAGTATATTCCAGGGGCAAGAGCAGTAATATAGAGGATAGTGTGTTTGCCTTACATGAAGCCAACCCAGGTTAGATCTCCAGCATCCTATATGGTCCACTGAGCAACACCAGGAGTAATTCCTCAGTTCAGAGCCAAGAGTAACCCCTTGGCATCTCTGGATGTGACTCAAAAAGTAAAAAAACAAACAAACAACAAAAAAGAGTAGGTTCCTAACCTTTGTGCATATATGATTATGTTATTTGCAAACAAATCCATTAGTTATATTTTCCAATCTAGAGATAGTTTTACTCATTTTATTGACTAATTACCTATCTAAAACTTCGAGTGTAGTTTTTAATATAAATGGTAAGAGTAAGAGAACTGTGATTTCCAAGTGTGGAGGGAGTAGACTTAGTTCCCAAGGTTAGAATCAGAACAGTAGTACAGCAGATACTTGTCTTGCACACAGCTGACGCAGATTCGATCCCCAACATCCTGTATGGTTCCATGAGTCTGCCAATAGTGGTCCATGATCACAGATCCAGGAGCAAGTGCTAAGCATAGATGGGTGTGGTCTCAAAACAAAAACAAACAACCTCCCCTAAAGTTCGCAAAGTTATATATGCAGAGGGATATTGTCAGTTTGATGGTAGGTGTAATATAGTTAGCATTGTACCCTTAAAGTGTTTAAACATTTGTACCCTTAAAAATCAAGGTGCCTGAATAAAACTAATTTTTAAAAAGAACTAAGAGTCTACAATCTTGTCTTTTTCTTGATCTTAGAGTGGATTCATTATTTAGTCTCTCATCACTATCACATAGCTGTGAAGTTTTATAGATGGTTTTTTCAGGTTAGGTTAATTCCTGTCTACTCTTAGTTTGTTGAGACATTTTGTTATAGAGATGCTGAATTTTGCCTCTTGCCTTCATTATCTATTAGATAATCATCATCCTTTACTGATATGTGAGTCCTTTATTAGTGTGGTGAATTATATTAGTTACCTTTCATATGTTCAACCAGTCTCACATTACTGGGATAAATTCCACTCAGTCATGGCATATGACACTCCTTTCCATAGATCTGTATTTAATTTGCTGATATTTGTCAAGGATTTTTATGTCTATGTTTATGTATTAGTTTCAAAAAGCTCAAAAAACACAGAAACTGTTGGAGTACACGGAGCTTAGGTTTATCAGATTGTACCCATCACAGTGCTCCCGAGTCACTCCCATTACTTTGTCTGTCTGTAACCTCTTCTATGCTCTCTTCCCCAACCAATTTGTAAGGTCTCATCCTTCTTAGACACTGAAGCTGTACTGTAAGTCAATATTGCCTTTCTCCTCTCCTTATGTCTTTGAGCAGTTTACTTTAATGCAATGTCCTTTTGTATAGATACAGGAAGACAATTAATTAATATTATGCTTTATAACTTAGGAATTGATTGGCTTTGAATAGTATTCACTCCTGGGCATCTGCCTTCTCAACTTAAGCCTCAGTTGCCCTCACTTCCTAGCACTCCAAGGGCAGGGTCCCGACGTGGGACTGGATGGAACCAGGGCAAGCCGGTAAGTTATGTGCTACCCTGGCATCGCGATGGGCCAGGCCAAGGTGCCACGATTCTTAACTATAAGTTAAGAGGTTGATCATAGGCATTATGTCATGATCCAATAGTAACGATGAGACTAGGGCCCTGCTGCTAGGAATAGGAAAGATATCTGGCCTGAGCACTGCAGTCTGAGATCGAGATGGCCCTAGGAGAGCAATTCTATAAGCCCAAAGTATTTCTTACTGTGTCCATACAAAATGATTAATATTATGTATGCTTATATGTTGGTTGGACAAGGAGAGGAGAAACACGTCCTAGAAGCAGTTTTCTGTGTGTCCTGACTAGCTTGGATGAGACTGCTTTTTTGGAGATGTAGATTCCAAGCTCTAGCAGACTGGTCTTTGTTGTGCTAATCTAAGTGCTTGTAGCTAGTGAAAAGGTGAGGCCAGGATTACTGGCCTGCGGATGTAAGGAAACAATGTATGGTTTGCCGCCTCAACGTTCTTTCTGTAACTCCTTCTGATGACATCATTATATTGCGCCCTTTAGAGGTACTATGATCTATATAAGGGAGATTTCAGGGCTCTCTGGGGGGACACGTGCACCAGAGAACCGGGGGACACGTGCATCAGAGAACCTGGGAAGATGGGGCTGAGGACAGAAGCGGAGAGAACAAAGGCGCACGTGCTCGAGGATTCCTGAGGCCTCCATGACATACATCTCTTCCATGTAATAAACGGCTACTAAGATCAACCAGCTTGGCCTCGTTTCCTTCCTTCACCTGACCATCGCCATCGACCTCCCTGGAGTGGGGAAACGGCAGACCGCCGGCCTTTTTATTTTTTGTGTGTTTACACAAGAAACCATAGTATAAAACAATAGCAAATTATGTTTTCACAGTTCTGAAAACAGCAAGTACAAAAACAAGGTTTTGGTATCTTGAGTTTTTTCTGAGGTCTCTACATTTCTGTGCAGATGTCTGTTATTGTGTTTATTTTTATCTGTATTCTGCACACACATTCCCCGTATCTATACCTCTTTCTATAAAAACACCAACTATTTTGAATTTAGGTCTCAACCTTATAACCTAATTATTTAACCTTAGTTACCTCTATTAAGCACTGTTTCCGAATACAGTCAAAAGGGAGTTGGAACTTCAGTATACAAAGTTACATCAATTCTGTAACAATTCATAAGATTTGGTTCTGCTTTTTCACTCTACTTCTACATCTCTTCCAATTTGGAGATTCAGGTAACACTAGCCTCATGAAATGAATTCAGAAATTTTTTTCTCAACATCTCTTTTTGGAATTTGTATAACTTTGTTATTAACTTAAAAGTCTGCTAGATTTTGCTGGTAATATCATCTAGTCCTTGGTTTTCTTTGTGAAAAGTTCTTGATTATTAATTCAATATCTTATCATGTGTCCATTCAAATTGTTCTTGAGTTAATTTCAGCAGCTTGTCCCTTTTGAAATCGGTCCATTTCTTCCTAATACATTTTACATAACTTGTTGCCCTGAAGTTGCTTATAGTATTCCCTCATAGCTCTTTTTTCTTTCAGTTTAAAGCTGCTACTTAAAAAGCAGTGTTTTGAAGTCTCAAACTTTGCTGTAAAACCCTATTGCCATGTGCATTTTAGCACAAAAATTAATATTTACATTATTTCTCATTAAGCAAAAGAGACACTATCAGAGAGAGTTCGTGTGTGTGTGTGTGTGTGTGTGTGTGTGTGTGTGTGTGTTTCACCATCCTACCTTCCAAAACATGCATGGTGGTCTAGTTGGAGATACTCATGAGGAGACATATTCTTTGGAGTTTCCACCCCTTACCAGAACAGTCCATCTGTCCCTAAGGTCTAAGTGGGGTTACCAGGGCTGCACAAATAGGTTGTTGTGCAAAAAAATGAATTAAAAAATCTTTCCTGTGCTTTAGTATGGGGGAAGTGCATTATTTTGTTAAGGGTGGGAGTCAGAGAGACAATATCGGGGGTAAAGTGCTCGCCTTGCATGCTGCTGATCCCTTTTCAACCCTTGGCACTACCTATAGTCTCCTGAGGACAAACAAGAGTATTCTTCAAATCAAATTAAGTAAAATAAAATACGGACCTATGTAGTCAATTATTTTGTTCAGGGTGTTTATATGTCTAAATCTTTTGTGTTGATGGTAATGCAAGTGTTAGAGCAGATTGTGACCTGCTCTGAGTTCTGATGGGCTGTGTATAAAGTTAGCTTATACGCTGACTGCCACACATCTTTTACAACTCTAATTTAACAACTCTAACAATTCATGTGGCTGTGTCTCTATAGGCAAATAGGGCTCCCTTCTGCATGATGACAGGGTTCATATACATAGCTACGCCTGCCTCTTAGTTGATTCTGCTCTCTGGTTGCACCATATGGGGGTCATCTGATCAGAACAATCAATCTGGTTTCATATGCTATGAAGGTTCGAGGTGATTGTGTGATGACCAAAGAGAGCGCCCATGTCCTTATATGGGTTGCCAAGATTATCTTGTATGTTCGTATACAAATAAAGCCAGTCAGATTGCACATATCCTTATGTATCTGTTAAGTGGCCAATCGTATAATATATGTTAATTAAAATGTGTAATCTGATCCATCAGAGATTAGCACTACCTTCCTCTTTCTGATCCCTCCCTGTTGTTTTCTTTCGTATAACATAGGGACAGAAATGACAATCTTTTTTTTAATTCTGAAATAAACATAAATTGATCATCCAAACTGAACTATATAAATAAGAAATTGAGAACAGGACCAAGAAATAAGAAGGGCCCAAGAGGTACAGCAGCTTGGGCATTTATGGTCCCCCTAGGCCACCCGGAGTGATTCCCAAGTGCAGAGCCACGAGTAAGTCCTGAGCACTGCCAGGTGTGGCCTAAAACCAACATAAAAAAGAAAAGTAAGAAAAAAATTATAGCTGTATTTCAGATTATTTACCTTAATGAGAATCTTGTGTGTTTTAACTTCAACAAAAGTTGCTCATCAATAGCGTTCAGTTATTCCCAACTATTTTTTTAAAAGTAATTTTTTAAAAAAGCATCTTGTTGTATTTTTATATTAAAGAAGTATGTATAGTAAACAAAGTGACACACGTGAACCTGAAATGGGAATAATAATTTTAATAGATATTAACTGTAACATTTTCCTCCAACCCCCAAAATGAATCACTTGTATTAATGATAAATTAACAATCTATTTCAGTTCTTAGTAAGGTTGAATTATTACTCCTGTATTAATTCATTATAATAAAAGATTTTGTTTTCCCTCTTTGTTTTTTGTAGAAAAGCTGTTCTTGAAAACTGCATGCTATTTAATGATTCAGATGTTTGGGCCAGATATCATAAAACTGTGAGTATGCCATGATCACTTGCTAATCTCCTGGGGGAAAAAACACAAAAACTCAGAAAACTTTTGTCTCTGTTTCCAGCAGGGTGTACTTACTGAATGAGGGACTGCATTATATACCAGTTCGTGTTGATAGTGGAAAATCCAGCATTGATTGGATTCCTTTGAAACTCTAAACAAGAACTCCCTTGAAATTCTGAGTTCATGACACATTCTCACCAAATATTTATATATGGCTATCTGATATTTTAATTTTTTTACTTAGTGAATTTGAATAATGTGGTTTGCTCTCAAGTCCACCAGTCAAAATAAATCTTAACCTTTTCATATGGGCTTAATTTCACTCTCATGATAAGCTTCACTCAAGTTATAAGTCTCACATTCATCTTTCTCTTGCTTTTTTTCTAGTTGTATTACATATTTATACATATTCATATAATCAATTATGGGTACTTATCATAATTAAAATTAAGAGCAATAAAATAATAAATATTAGTATATGTATTATATTAATCTACCTTTAGAGTGTATGCTTTTTAGTTGTCTCTTTACTGTATGAAGACAGTATTACATTTAATATCTTTAATACTAAATATGCAAAAAGAATGAAGAAGTGAGAGAGGAATAGATGAAAGCAGGAGTGAATGAGCGAAGGGAGTGCAAGAAGAGGAGGGTAAATAGAGGGCTGTACATTTCTGATGCTTAATGCAAATTTGGGGGTAGTAGAAAATGTTGAGTGAATTAACTTTTTTTAAAAAAAATTGTGAGCCATAAAGATAGTACAGAGGTATAGGCACTTGCCTTGTATGCCACTGACCCTGGTTTTTCCCAGAACCATATATGATCCTCCAAACATTCCCAAGAGTGACTCTTAGCACAGGGTCAGGAGAAACCTTGAGCACAACTGGGTGTGACCCCCAAAACAATAAAAAATTTACCTCTGAGCTAAGTCTAGATTCCTCCAAGGAAATTTACATGAATGTACTAAAACAAAGAAACAAAACATCTTTCAACCATTTAATGAACCTGTTTACACACTTACTATGAGCCAGATGCTATGAGACAATACCAGCTTGCTCAGTGGTTCTGTTAGGCGAAGGACAAAACCAGAGAAACAAATGGAGCAGTCATATAATCCAAATTGCACACAGACAAATTCACCTCAAATTATTACAACTAGGCATTGCATTAATAAAGAATGGGTCCAGAAAGAACTCCTGAAAGACTTCCTGGGTAGGTGGTAGAGAAAAGGAAGGTGTGCTTTGAGAGGACTCAAAGTCGTGACAAATTCTCAGTGTGGGGAGGTGGTGGATGTAACAAACCACCCTGCTCAGTTGTTCTGTCCACCGTTAGTTTTATTGCTCTGTCATTTTCTAATGCCGCTTAGTGGTTTGATGATAGAATTTCTCCCCTTAACGTTGTATTCTTACAGCTTCTTTTAATCCTTCAGATGTGGGCCTGGTTTGATAAAGGCCCTAAAAATTACTTCTTCGTGACTCAATATTACCTGAATTTCAGACTTTCGACGTTTAATGTATGTCCTAATCTAGACAGCATCCCATTTTAATATACAAAAGTCAATTCCCAATGATTCATGGACTGTTTAGCAATTGTTTTTCCTAGCATTAGGCGAGTCATGGGATTTTAGATGGACATAGGACATCTAAGCACTCCCCCAGGTTCCTGGGGTTATACAGGGAGGGGCGACTCCAGGAACAGCCCAATCCTATCAACTATGCATCTCTTCTGCCACACAGTTGGACAAGTAGGCATATAATATGTAATAAGGCAACTGTCTTTGCTACATATTATATAATCTAATGTCTCACATTTATCTCAGGCTAAGCTAAAGGACTGATTTTTAACTTTTAGTCTTTTAATGATGAAGCTGTGGTCTTAAAAGTCCCTGAGAAGAACCTCATATGCCCCCTTGCCTCCTCTTACTCCAGTCCAGAGAGCTCCAGCCTCACTTTGTGATTGATTATTCTTCTTCACTCCCATGAACAAATTCATCTACCTGAAATTGTGCTCTGTTTGCAGGAGGAAGGAGAACAACTCTTGGATACTATAGGATGAGTTGTCTCTGGGGGTCTTGCAAGTCACCAAGGTCCAGTCAGTTTAACCAGATTTATTTATTAAAAGTTATATAAATATTAAATATTAAAATAATTTTTAAAATTTAACTAGTCTTATTTATCACATCCTGAGTGCACACTAAATATAAAATCCTCTTGAAGACAACATTCATCTGCAAAATACATGACCATTAAGTTGAGAACAGATGTGTGGAAACAACCTCTCTTTCCTGGCTTGCTGACACTTGGTGGATTTCAGTTTGACAACAGACTTTAGCTGTCACAAACAGGTGTCCCTCAGCTCAGAAAGTGGGGGCTCTCTTTATACTCTAAGTGACCTCCTCTATTTTCCTTGAAGTACCCTTTACACCAAGAAGATGACTCTCATAATGAGTCTTCCCTCTTTATTCAGGTGATCATAAAAGCCATCTTGTCAGTCACATACTTAGTGACTCCAAGCTAGAGTAAAGTCAGGGAGTCCATGATCCCAGTCTATGTTTTTGTTTTGTTTTGTTTTAATTTTTTATTGAATCACCATGAGATACAGTTACAAATCTGCTCGTGATTGGGTTTCAGTCATTCTGTGTCCCAACACTCATTCCTCCACCAGTGTATGTTTACCAGCACCAATGTCCCCAGTTTCCCTCCCACAACCCTCCAACTCCCCCCAAAAACCTGCATCTATGGCAGACACCTTTCTTTCTCTTTCTTTCTTTCTTTCTTTCTTTCTTTCTTTCTTTCTTTCTTTCTTTCTTTCTTTCTTTCCCTTCCTTCCTTCCTTTCTCTTTCTTTCTTTCTTTCTTTCTTTCTTTCTTTCTTTCTTTCTTTCTTTCTTTCTTTTCTCTTTCTTTCTTTCTTTCTTTCTTTCTTTCTTTCTTTCTTTCTTTTCTCTTTCTTTCTTTCTTTCTTTCTTTCTTTCTTTCTTTCTTTCTTTCTCTCTCTCTCGCTTTCTCTCTCTCCCTCCCTCCCTCCCTCCCTTCCTCCCTCCCTCCCTCCCTCCCTTGCTCCTTACTTCTCCTTTTGGACACTGTGGTTTGCAATATAGATACTAAAATGTTATCATGTATATCCTTTTACCTACTTTCAATACTCAGATCTTATCCAGCATGATCATTTCTAGCTATTATTCTCATACTGATATCTCATTCTCATTCTGCCTTACCTACCTTCTGCCCCCTACAAACTTGTGGTAAATTCCAACCATTGACCAGTCCTCCTGTCCCCTGTTTTCCTTGGCTTTAGATATTAGTCTCATACTATTTTTTACATAAATTTTGTAAAAAAGCAGTCATTCTATATCTGTCCCTCTCCTTCTGACTCTACTCTCCATATCTACCAGTGTATAGAAAAATTTCATGACTTCATTTTTTTCTAACAGCTGCCTAGTATTCCATTGTGTAGGCTTACCATATTTTCTTTATCCAGCCATCTGTTCTCAGGCACTCAGATTGTTTCCAGATTCTGGATTTTGCAAATAGTGCTGCAATGAACATAGAAGTACAGATGGTGTTTCTGCTGTGTGTTTTGGTCCTTCAGGGTATATTCTCAGTAGTGATATTGCTGGGTCAAATGGGAGTTCAATTTCTAGTTTTTTGGGGAATGTCCATATTGTTTTCCCAAAAGACTAGATACCCTTTGGTTTACCCAAAACTTCCACTGCAATGAATGAGAATCCCTTCCTCTCCATATCCATGCCAGCACTGGTTGTTCTTGTTCTTTACATCCAAAATTATGCCAGTCTTTGTGGTGTGAGATGATATCTCATTGTCGTTTTGGTTTGCATCTCCCTGATGATTAGTGATGTAAGGCATTCATGTGTTTTTGGACATTTGAATTTATGTTTTGAGGAAGTTTCTGTTAGTTTCTTCTCCCTATTTTATGATGTGGTTGGATGCTTTTTTGTAAAGTTCTATTAGTGCCTTGTTTATCTTTTATACTAACCCTTTATCAGGTGGATGTTCGGTGAATAATTTTTCCCATTCCAGGGTCTGTCTTTGTATCTTGGTCACTGTTTCTTTTGAGGTGTATAAACTTCTTAGTTTCATGTAGTCCCATTTGTTTATCTTTTCTTCTACTTGCTTGTTGAGTGATGTTTCATCTTTGAAGATGCCTTTAGCTTCAGTGTTGTTGAGGGTTTTGCCATTTTCCTTCATGTACCTTATGGATTCAGGTCTGAGTTGAGGTCTTTAACCCATTTTGACATGACTTTTGTGTATGGCATTAGATAGAGGCCTAAGTTCAATTTTTTATGTGTAGTTGTCCAGTTTTCCCAGCACCACTTGTTAAAGAGCCAGCCTATGTTTTTAAATATTAGTGATCATCTAAATAGTTTAAGATCTCTGACATGGAAAGTTTTTATCGAGTAGGCTTTGATAAGAAATATTTTAATTCAAACAAAGAAGTTATTTTACAGTAAGATTCATTAAAAGATTTTATGATTGATAGTTCAAATTATCATTTATTTTAAATGTTGAGCAACCACTAAAACGGCTATTTACATACTAAGTGAAACTTGGGTATATATATGTTTTGGTATTTTCCTAATTTTTATCTTTATAAGGATCATTTGTTATTTTTTATGTCCAGGCATAAAATTCTCTTGGAGGAGTGAACAACCTAATAGATCAGGGAAACAGAATTGGAAGCAGATTTGGTTATTTATATCAGACCCACTGTGATAAAAAAAAATCACAGTGGGGAAGCTTTCCCACTCTAACCCATAGTTCTCAAGTGCTGGTCACTTTTAGGCTGTGACCACCTTCTATCATAAACAACAGAAACAAATGGTCTCATGAAGAAGGATGGAGAGGAGAATGAGGGAGAGAAAACTGGTGTTTGGCATCGTGGCAGTTGTACTAGTCACTTTCTAATTGCTGGAGTTGTAGACAGAGTGGATTTATTGTAAGAGAATTGAGGACATATCATGATATTCCAGGGCAGGAAAATAGCTAGGTGTTAGACAGATCAGAAAGAGAGCCAATAAGCCACTAGAAAGAAGAAACATGCATACTCTATGCAGGCTTCTCATTGCAAGTGAATGTGCTGCCTACACAATCCCTCCCTTAGCTTTATGAGTACTCAATTTTCTTGGCTGGAAATGACTACAAATATATAGTATCCAAGCCACTACAGCTTCATATATTATGATAACAGCCCAAAGTCAAACTTTTAATACTAATTCTAAAGTTCCATAAGAGAATCTGACTGGTCACACTTGCACAACAACCAAAAGAGGCCCAACCAACTAAAGTATAAACATAGCTGCCAGGAACCCATTTTTATGTGTGAAGGGGGGTAAAGAATCATGTGAATAGGAATGAAGCCCCAAATGCATCATCTAAAATCAACAATTATCCTTCCATATATCATAAAGATATATATATATATACACATTATATATAGCACAGTAAGTAGGGCATTGGCTTTGCACACGGCTGACCTGGGTTCAATACCTCAGAGAGCCCGGTAAGCTATCGAGAGTATCCCACCTACATGGCAGAGCCTGGCAAGCTCCCCATGGCATATTTGATATGCCAAGAACAGTAACAAGTCTCACAATGGAGACGTTACTGGTGCCTGTTCAAGCAAATCCATGAACAACAGGAGGACAGTGCTATAGTATATATATAAATATATATAAATATATATCACTCCAGCCTATATATATATATATATATATATATATATATATATATATATATAGGCTGGAGTGATAGCACAGCAGTAGGATGTTTGCCTTGCGTGCAGCCAACTCAGCTGAGCCAGGTTCGATTCCTCCACCCCTCTTGGAGAACCTGGCAAGCTACCAAGAGTATTCAATATGCCAAACACAGTAACAAGAAGTCTCACAATGGAGACGTTACTGGGCCCGCTCGAGCAAATCAATGAACAATGGGAGGACAGTGTTTGTTTTGTTTGTATATATATATATATATATATATATATATATATATATATGTGTGTGTGTGTGTGTATCTCACAAGGTTCATACTTCTTCCTTCATTTGGAGAAATTTATTATACTCATTATTCTTGGTAAGAAGAGTTTTGAAAATATCAGGAAGAGAATGATAATAAAAGGTTTGCTTTAGCCTTTTCGAACATAGAAATGAATGTTTTAGAAGTACTACCTTTATACTATACTCAGAGGGAAGGAGTAGAGGGATAATGCAACTAAATTGTACTTTCTTCCATGAGGTAAAGATACATATTTACTTTACCTCAGTAATAGTAATAAAAATTTATATGTGTATATTTACTTTGAAAGGAAAAGAACTGACATCAGAGTGATAGTACAGCAAACCTAGGTTCCAGTCATCCTAAGAAAATAATTCTAGGTGAATAAGACTGTATTGTAACTGAGTTCTTTGTCTTAAGATCACACAAACTTAATCATGCAAAATAAAATTTTTATTAAATTACATCATGCTTATCAAATTATACCTCTGTCCACTTTTTCCTTCCCCAATTTTATTGTAGCATCTTTCAGAGATTGATAGTGCTCAAAAGAGAGGCATTCCTCTGCACTTCCTCCTTCACCTCACTGCCCCGTTTAAGTGTAGGAATATGTAACGTGGCAGAAATTATCCTGCCCCAGTGGCTACAGGGCACTGCACTCAAAGGCCTTGCTAAAGTGAGTTGTGGGTATTTGAATCCATTCTGGGGATTTACCTTCTCTGACAGAGCTTCTATTTTTCAATGCCTGAGAGATCTTAAAGAATGTTTCTTTGTTTTGCCCCATTTCCTTTCAGGCTTAGCACAGATATGAATGCTGATGTGGTGTGTCACACTCTGAAATTCTGTAAACAAGAAATGGGTCAACCTTTGTGTCATCTCTACCCTCCCCCAAAGGTGAGTGGATTTTCACTCTGTCAGATTACAGCAACCTCAGATCCTCTGGCACTATTGTGGAGGCTGCCCTCAGTCAGTGATTGGGGACAAGAAGAGGCAAGATGACATTTTCAATTATATTGCATGAAATAACACCTGCAAATTTCAACCTACATCCCTCCCACACATGCTTCCAAAGAACGTCTTTGCTATTTAACTGTTGTGGACTGCAATCTGGAGCAAGGCTGCCAGTAGGGAGGAAATTTGACCGGCCCAGGAGAAAAGAAGTTTGAATTCCTCTCTTTCATATTAATTCTGAAACAAGTTGCTAGAATAGAGTATTCTGTTTTTCCACGGCTTTGCTACATACTGAAAAGTTCTGTATCTACATACTGAGAGTTCTTTATCCTAGGAAAACCTGTGCATTTGGTAACTCTAGTCTAAGTTTTATTGCACTCAATCATAAAATGGGTATGATAAATTATGTAAAATGCTTTCCATATATGATTGCTGTAGGAAGTCAATGAGTAACACAAATAAAATGCTTAATCCAATAACTGCTGCATACAAGATGCTAATAAGATCCTAGCTAGTGTAATTGCTTTTCCAATATCATTATTATTCAGGGATAGTACTTCACAATACCTATATGCATAATATTATGTTGAACAGTTTGGTGCCGCAATGCAGAAAGAGATAAGGCTGTAAATATTGACACAATTCCCTGCCCACACTCTCAATGCAAGTATACTAAATCTGGTTAGAGCTTAAAATATTGATTTTCATAAGCTTCCTGTAAAAATAAGAGATAATAAAGTAATATAAAATAAAATTCTGTTTCCTTTACCAGCATGATTGTTTAGGTGTTTTTGTATATAACATAGTTTTATATTTTATTTGCCATCTCCTTTTATTGCTACTGAAATAAAGGCATTTTAACACTTTGCAATCTAGCCAGTGGACAAGATTTTGCTGACTGACAATATTAAATATCATAAGCTTGTCTCCTTGAGCAGAAGGAGAAGATGCAAATGCTAGAGTGTGTGCATTTCATGCTTCCTTGGTCACTGGCATCAGTGACCAAGGATGTTTAATTAATTAATTAATTGTCAATTAATTTCACCTGAGAAGCTGTGGGCCCTGTTGGTTTCTAGAAGAGTTAGTTAATTTTATTTTTAGGGGCTGGAATTTTTAGGGCTAGAGCAATAGCACAGTGGTAGGGCGTTTGCCTTGCACCCAGTCAACATGGCCGACCCAAATTCGATTCCTCTGCCCCTCTCGGAGAGCCCGGCAAGCTACCGAGAGTATCTCGCCCGCACGGCAGAGCCTGGCAAACTACCCGTGACGTATTCGATATGCCAAACACAGTAACAACGAAGTCTCCAATGGAGACGTTACTGGGCCCACTCGAGCAAATCGACGAACAACGGGAGGGCCTTTACCTTTACCTTACCTTAGGGGCTGGAATAATAGTACAGTGGGTAAGGTGCTTGCCTTGCATACAACCAACCCAAGTTCTATACCCAGCACCCCATAAGGTCCCCACAAACTTTTCCAGGAGTGCACAGCCAGAAGTAAGCTCTGAGCACCACCAGGTATGGCCCCAAAACAAAACAAAACAAAATTGCCTCAAGCCAAAGAGATAGCACTTGGTTTCAGATGTTTGTCTTGTTTTGTGGCTAATCCCAGTGTTGTCCCTGGTGCTCCATGAAACCCCAATGCTTGGAACAACCACTGAACACAAAGCAGGAAGTAGCCCCCAGCACCACTGGGCATGCCCCCCCCCCCCCCGCAATATATTCAGGTATTAAAGTAGCATGTGAATGTGGTATAATATTTACTGTCTAAGAATGTACAAAGAAAACTAGATGTAAAGGCAAATAATAGGGGTATTTTGTGATTTCCTTAAATAACACTTTGTTACATATACATCTTACTACAGATAGTCATAATCCCAACGTATTTCGTTTTAAATTATTCCATTTAAAAAGTCATTTTTTTTCACTCAGTGCAATTCATACCTGAAATATCATTTCCTTATCTTCCTTGTCACAACCCCATATTCAATTCCCATTGCAAGAACTTTTCAACCAATCTCTTTAGCTGGGAAGGATTCAGAGAAGTTAGTTCATCCGCAAATGCTCCACTTCCTTCCCAGATGAGTGTGAGCTCCTGGCTGACTCCTCCAAGTCCTTCACCCTCTTCTACAAGCCCGAGCCTCTGCAGATGACCCGAAAATGAAGACTCTCGGTACAAACACAAGCACACACTCCCCTCCACTGTCTCCTTCACTGGCAATAGTTGACATCTCCTGAGTTTTCCCTCTTTTCACATCACTGTTAATGCTTTCTCTGTCTCTGAAAAAACCCTCAAGGGGACACCATTAGGACTCCATTTTTTTTAAGCTGAGGAAACAGTATTCAAAAGGTTATGTAACTTTATTTGAAAAATCACTCTTTGAAAAAAAAACAGTAGTGGGTCTGGAGTATAGTACAGTGGGGACGGTGCTTGCTATGTCTAAAGCCAATCCAGGTTGAACTCTGCCATTGTGTATGTGTTCCAAGACCCCAGGAGTGATCCTTGAGTGCAGAGTCAGGATTAATTGCTGAGCAACTCTGGGTATAGCCAAAAAAACCCAAACCAAACCAAACCAAACCAAACAACAACAAAAAACAGAAGTTCAACTGTGTATCTGTAATCTGACGAGAGTTTGGTAGCTCTCTTACTTATTGTGTCAGTGTTACTGAAGATCCTCTCAGGGTACTTTCATAATACTCAATTGAATCCCCCACCAGAAACAACGAATATTGGTGTTGGTCAGATGTTTTCCTTTTCTTTTAAAATCAGTTGTTTTCTGTCAGTCATTTAATTGATAATCATACTTGTAAACAATTTTCTAGTCCATGTTTCCATTTAAACATTACTTACTGAACATAACTTTTAGTGGTTAATGTCATATCTTTTTATTTCCAAGCCATAAAATAATACTTATAAAACTGGTGTATATCACTACTTACCCTCTAATAGTAAGTTAAGATATAGATGTAGGCCATTCCCAGCCATCCAGAAGCTCTCAGTTAACACCCAGAGCCACCAGTGTTGCTTCTACTTTGGGACCTATTAGCATAGGTTGGTTTACTTATCCATAAAGTTCTATTCTTAATCTTTTTATAAATGGAATCATACAGTATGTTTTTATTAAAGTTTTCTTTTTGCCTGTGACTTCTTCAGTATTTTATGCAGAACAGTACCAACACATGAGATATTCACAAAGCCACCTCCTGCTATAGCTTCTAATTAGTCCAACTATCTACCCTTATCCTCTTTTCAACAAATTCCCACACTAATTCCATAAATACTTCTCTATGAGATAAATATAATCTTGTTGCCTCACCATTATATCTCTGCCTGGAAAACAATGTTCTCTTTGTTCCTCAATTTGAGGAAATCCCTTCATGCTTCAGGATCTCAGCTTAAAAGCTATTTCTCTGTGGGGACTGTCCCTGACTCCTGGTACACACCACTCTTATCTAAACTTCTGTAAGCTCCTTCATTGAACTTACCTTATTTGGTGGAGAAGGACAGGGGCTCCCCAATTATGTTGGGGCCAATGAAGCTATGCCTGGGAGTGTTCAGGCAGCCGTGTGGTAAACTTGCCTTCTTTTCAATTATATGCCTGTGTGATTTCCTATCTCTTTCTCCCACTGGACTGAAATATCCTACAACCTTCTCTTCCACTATTATCCTTTTGTGTTCCTTGCTACAGTCAGAGTGATTCTTCCTGGAATCCAACTCAACTGTCCACCTATATTTTTAGTCCTAATTCTTCCTTCACTTAAAAGGCCCTTCTCAAAACCATGTCAACCCTTCAAGCTCATCTGAAGTTCTCTACAAAAAATTTCTTATTTCCTCACAAAACGTTCACTCTCCTTTCAACTATCATCATAAAATAGTTTTTAAGTATTTAAATATGCCAGAACTATATGTATTTATTTGTTACTATGAAGTGAGTATTGTCATTGATATGCTTAATATAAAGAAAGTGAAGCAGAGAGTTTTGAAGCTCTTAATTTCATGTCAATTTCCTTACTTGGATGTAAGTTTATCAGACGGCTTCAGTGGGTCTGAAACTGAACTGTCTTTGTCATCTCCATCATGGTAGGCACACACATGATATATGGTAAATATACTATGACTTCCTTGTGTAACCATGTGCTTGATTAAATATGATGAGCCTGAGAACAGATGACTGGTTAAAGAAACTTTGGTACATCTACACAATGGAGTACTATGTAGCTGTTAGAAAAGATGAAGTCATGAAATTTACATGCAAGTGGTACTACATGGAAAGTATCATGTTAAGCTAAATGAGTCAGAAAGAGAAGATAGACATAGAAAAATTGCATTCCTTATATAAATGAAGCAAATGACTATTGACAATGTCCAACTGCACCAAGAGAGAAGAAAGGAGAGGAAAAAAATTAAAAATTACTTTGTAAAGATCACGCTGGTAGTTTAGTGCTGCCTATTTTGGGGGGTATCATTTAAATCATTTCTCCCCTCTTTCACACACATAGCAAGGAATTTTCACTGCTGGCACTATAATTTGCAAGTGTGATCTCGCCTAACAGTGCTTTTGGGTATAGTTATCATGAAGATGAGGGAACTGAAACTGGGGGAAGTGAAGGCATTTTTCCAGGTAAAAGAGAAAATGGCAATTGAGGATTTAGCCCTGGTCTGCTTGTTTTTTTCCCTTTATTGGGTCACGCCAGTGATGGTCAGGGGTTATTCTGGGCTCTGTACTTAGGACTTACGCCAGCAGTGCTCACAGGACAATATGGGATGCCAGGATAGAACTTGGGTCAGCTGCATGCAAGGCAAATGCCCTACCAACTGTCCCCCTGCTCCAGCCCTCTGCTTATCTCTGAAGTCTGAGTTTATACTAGTTCTTCCCTATGCATGACACTTCAGTAGTATTATTGCTTTGAACTGAATAATTGCTTGTTAGCTAGCCAAGTCCT